GGATGGACAGCACAGGAGGGGAAGGCCCTCTATGAGGTGGACTGATTCAGTGACTGGGATAATTGGGATGGGTGTATCAGAGACAGTGCGACTGGCACAGGAGAGAGTTTAGGGCTGTTGTACATAGAGTCGCTATGAGTCGCATGTGACTCGATGGCACATTAACAACAACATATCGGTAAGTGTGATAGGAGACAATACCATTGCTCTAAAGAGAATGGAATGTGTGTTTATATATGCTTGTTCTTTTAGAGATTTCTATGTTGTAATTTCTAATAATAAATATTGACAGATATAAGCAAAACTGCTTATACACACAAAAACAAACTGATTCTGGTTCCTTGATAATTTTTCAAGGGTGTAAAAGTATCCTGAGATCAAAACCCTTAAAGAGAATTTGCTGCTAGAGATTAAAAATTCAATTTCAAAGCCAGAACACCTAAACAATTCTTTTTCATCTTTAATGCAGAACAAGTCCCTTTTTAGATTCCTTTAGTTATGCAATAAAGGGAGAAAACTCTTAAGCTCTCTATTCTTTCTGAAACATTCTAGTGTTAACTATTAGCATCTCTCTGCAGCTAAGATTCCTATATTTTTCTAGTCTTCTCAGACTATTCCCTAAGATTCACAACCATTCTCCTGCTTTTAGCCAGACATAATTAAGTTGAATTAATTACAGGAAGCACTGTTGGACTATTGGCAAGAAGCTGTGCTGCAATCTCCAAGACATAGAGTTCGACTACACCAGACATTCATTGGGAGACGGATGGGCAATCTCCTCCCACGTGATTAAAGGCATCTGAAAACCCACCTGAGGGCCAGCTATTGGTCAGTTCCGGCTCGATGGTACCACAACAACAATTAACTTGAAGTCTAACCACCATCCTCTAAACTGGGCAAAAATCAGCACTGGGCTTATTCCTTCCTCAATTTCCCAAGTTATGTTAATGGTTCTTTAAGCAGGCTTAACACTTTGGTTATCTTTGCCAACTACATGTTTATGTTACTCCAGGCAACTGCCTAGTCCATTTTCTTACAGCCTCTGTCTGGGAACCTAGCTAAAAATATCACCATAATGCTTTCTATCTCATATTACTTCAAACCATTTTATTCTTAAACTCTTAAAAACACTTTTATTCTATCAATCTCTTAAAAAATTCTTAAATCAGCTGGATTGAGTGAGAGTCAAACATTCCCAGACTATTACAGCTACTCTTTATAGCAAAACAGTAGCTGGTAAACAAAATCAACTAAGCTCATGAATAGCGAGATCACACCAGCGAATGCCCTGCACGACTCGCAGGCAGTGCAACTGCGGGCCTTTTCGCTCGCCTGCCTGACAGCAATAAATCTGACTCGGGCAAGGTCACCTTCTACAGAAGGAAACGGAGGAAGGGAGAGAAGGGGAGAGCCTCCCGGGAGGTCAAACAGAGGGATCCCAAAGTGGATTCTGTGGGACCCTGGCTTACTCGTTGCGCAAAAGTCTCTCCTGGCGCTTCAACATTTCCCGCAGCTCCGTCAAACTCCGCTGCCCCAAGTTCTCCAGAGTTTGGGGCTCGAAGCCTCGGGGCAACGAGGACATCCTGCTGGGGCTGAGGCTGGCGAGCTGGCGGGAACCCAGAATCCTCGGCAGCCCCCGCCACGAGCGCTGGAGCCGCAGGCGGCGGCAACTCAGAACCACGATCGGGGGCCGCCATTTTCCCGGAAGAGTAGGTCCTTTAGTCGAATCGAGCTTTATTGGAACACCGGAAACAAACACAAACCTGAAGAAGGGGCTGCTGGGAAATGTGAGAAGCAGCGGGAGTCCAGAGGGGTGTACCTTCTCCATTCATTTATTCTTGATGCTTTTATTTCTTCGAAAAGCACTTGAACGTCCCGTTTCTTTAAAAAATAGTTGCGTGATACTGATGTCACCAAACGCCAGACACGGTGTGATCATAAGATTTTTTTAAAAAATCAACCAACTCCTGCGATCGAGTCAGAACCAATTCATAACTGAAACATCAAATCCTCCAGCGGGTTTTTGGAGGCTGTAAATTGCACAAGGGTAAATTGCCACTCTTTCTTTGAAGGAACTGCTGGTGAACTTGAACTGTCAGAGAAGCTTAGTCTTTTGGCTAGCAGAGCAGCGCCCTACAGACTATACCAGTAGGGCTTCCTGGTCATACATAAGACAGAGGTAGGCATTAGGGACAGTGTCTTTGAGAAATTAGATTTTTAATGAAACTGGACTGCTATACATGGTGGTTTGAACCCACCCAGCAACACTATGTAAGAAAAGCCTAGTTATCTGAGGCCTGTTAAGATTGTAGTGTGCCGTCAAGTAAATTCCAACCCAGCAACCCTGTGTGACACAGTAGAAAGAAACGCCTTATAGAATTGTGCTGCAAAACCGAAGACACCCTGCTGGAATTCACCAGCTGCTTCTCAGGAAAAAGGTGGACAATCTCCTACCGTGGGCTTTACTGCCTCTGAAAACCTAACTATGAGTTAGTTGCAACTTGACAGTACCTAACAACAACTAAATTTAACAGCCTGGATTACTAGGTAGTTTCTTCCCATAAAGAGGCAGGGGTCAAGCTGCTAACTCTCATTAGACAAAGGTCCGTAGCCAACGACTTGCACCACCAGGGCACCTTTGAGTTAAGAAAAACCCTAACATCTCTGTAGTACATGAGGTGGCTTTCTTGACTCAACAGCAATGAGTTTGGGTTTTGGGCCAGTGTTATGATTCCCTGTACTCGAAGGTTTAGTGAAGTCCCAGAAAGTTAAAAGTTCCTTAAAAACACCATGGTTTCTATGTTTTTGGCGCACAGTTCATTTGTGTCATTGTTTCAGCACTGTAAGGCATTTGGTGTCACTGCTAATTGCCAGGGCAATTCTAAATCATTATTGTGTTGCCAGATACTGGGCCTAAATAATGACTAAAAAGTCAGACAACTTTACAAAAGGGAAGACGCAGAGTAGAGATTAAGAAAATGCTGTAAGGGAAGGTGTATGCAGAGCTTGGAAGGCACACGAGCGCCTCTGAGGCTCAAATGGTCAGAGCTTTTCTAGGACAGTTTCTGAATAGGGGAAGGGTTATACTCAGGAGTAAAGGAAGATGTCTCTGCACAGCTTCAGTTAGATGGCTGCAACTCTTCTTTTTTTCTCTGTGCAAACATACAACTTCAAGATGCACCCAGGGCAAGGGAGTCCAGAAGTTGGTGGGAAAACTTGTTTTGAGATGTTGGGACTGTAGAAGCTGGTTTGAGTCCTGCTCACTTCTTTGAATTGCCATCTTAGGCCACTGCTTGGTCAAATAACTCCTTGAAATTCCATTTAATCCAGTATTCTTTGTCTTTAGTTCTGAGTTTCCGAGGCAATACTCCTTAGATATAGTAAGATAATACTATATATATATATATATAATTTCTTTTCAATTGTTGAACATTTTCTGCCCCTCTCTTCCCCTCCCACATCCCCAACCTACCCTGCAATGCACGCCTTGTTCCAGATTATTGTCATACATATAATGCCTAATCATATATTCCTTTCAGACAGTTCTCCTCCTCCTCTGTTCTGTTCATTATCTATGCACTCTTGTCCCATTCTTCCCCAAGCCCTCCATGTCTGTTTTATGACAAGGATAATACTTTTTAACATCATGCTCTTGCTATTCCTGATTAATTTGTTTCTTAACCAATTCTATGTGTGTATCAGTAAGTTAAGTAAGTCAGAATGCTAAAATGTATAGGTGTGATTAAACAGGTTTCTTTGTTTATTCTTACATTCCAAATTCCTTAGGTCATGTAGAATGTCTACATGTTTATGCTTTATTGGCTATGCAAAGGCATTTGATTGTGTGGATTATAACATATTATGGCTAATATTAAGAGGAGTGGGAATCCCAGAACACTTGATTGTGCTCATACAAAACCTATACCTAGACCAAAAGGTTATTATAGAAACAGAACAAAGAAACACTGTAAGGTTTAAAATCAGGAAAGATATCTGGCATGGTTGTATCTTCTCTCCATAGCTATTCTATCTGTATGCTGAGAATAATTTGAGAAGCTAGACTCTATAAAGAAGAATATGGCATCAGGATCAAAGGGAGACTCACAGATTGTTATCTGTGTTATGCAGATGGCACAATCTTCCTTGCTGAAAATGAGGAGAACTTGAAGCACTTGTTGCAAAAGATCAAAGAATACAGCCTTCAATATGGATTACAAATCTACATCAAGAAAAAAATATTCTCACCATTGGACCAATAAACAACATCATGTCAATAAATTCATCTTACTTGGATCCACAATCGACCAACTTAGTAGCAGTAGTCAGGAGACATATTGCATTGGGAAAGTTTGTAGTCAGGGAATTCTCAAAATTACTGCAAAGCAATGATGTCATTTTGAAGACTGAGGTGAGAGTGATTCAGACCATGGTCTTTTCAGTCACTACCAATGCAGCTGAGAGCTATATAATAAATAAGGATGACAGAAAAAGAATTGATGCCTTTGATCTGTGGTGCTGGAGAAGAATACCAAATATCCCATGAACTGCCAAAAAACCCCAAACAGATATGTCTTAGAGAAAGGACAGCCAAGAGCATCCTTTGAGGCAAAGATGACAAAGCTTCACCTCACATACTTTGGGCATGTTGTTAGGAGAGGCTATTGGAAAGGTAGAGGATCCGCAAAATAGATGACAACCCTCAACCAGATGATTAGCACTGTGACTGCTGCAATTGCCTGGAGCCTAAGGTGCGTCTGATACAGGCCATGGTCTTTGCAATCACTTGTTATGCATCAGAGAGTTGGACAATGACTATGGAGGATAGAATGAGAATTGATGCCTTTGAGCTGTGGTGCTGGAGAAGAGTATTGAGTGTACCATGGACTGCTAGGAAAACAAACAGATTCCTCCTGGAAATGGTCAAACCAGGAGGCTCCTTGGAGGCAAGGATTCTGAGACTTCGTCTGACATACTTTGGACATGTTGTAAGGAAAGACCGGTCGTTGGAGAAGGACATCATGCTTGGGAGGGTGGAAGGACAGCACAGGTGGAGAGGAAGGCCCTCTATGAGGTGGATTGATTCAGTGACTGGGGTATTCGGGATCGGACTGTCGGAGACAGTGCGATTGGCACAGGACAGAACAGAGATTAGGGTTGTTGTACATAGGGTTGCTATGAGTCACAGGCAACTCGGCAGCACATAACAACAACAACATATCAGAGGTTGTGACAGGATAGGACGGGGTTGAGATCTGTTGTTATACGGTCATACTGTTATAAGTCATGCTTGACCCAACAGCACCTAACAGCAACTATAGTGTAGTCTGTAGGGAGTTGCCCTGCTACCTCAAAGGTAGCACGTATTTGGCACTTAAAATCCACGAGCTGGTCCGTGGAAGAAAGCCAGGAAATCTCCTCCCTGTGATGTTGTTGTTTTTGTGCACCATCGAGTCAGAACTGACCCATAGCTGAATCTCTTCAGAGGCAGTTAATTGCTCAGGAGGCGATTGCTGCTCCTTCTCCCACAGAGCAGCTGAGGGATTCGAACAGCATACTTTCAGGATTGCAGCACAACTTCTTGCCACTTGGACACTAAAGTTCCCTCCTAAGGGAACTTAGCCTCTAATAACACACTGAAAGGTCAGCGATGAGTCAGTTCCAACTTAACAACAATAAGTTTGAGAGTGCTTTTTTAATGTTTTGGTTTGGTTTTATTTGGTTTAGTTCCCTAGATCAATAACAACTCCAATATTCTACCATTACCAAATATTTACAAGAGTTAATGATGGAAGAGGGTATATAATCAACTGATAAACTCTTCTTCACAATTGCCTGTTTGGTTAATAAAAATATAGAAGCTGAGAGTACAAAACTATTAAGTTAACTCCAGATGTTGAACCCAAATGCTCTTTGACATAAAACTTAGAAAATGTTCTTCCATTGAGGCCTGTTTCAAAAGGTATAAAATTGGATTTAAAAAAATTATTTCCCAATCTGTTTAGAAAAGGAAGACAATAACAAACATCACACCCACCTTGTACACGCTCTTTAGAGTTCAGCTCCCAGCTCCATTTCCCAAAGTAAAGTACAAAAATCCTGCAAGAATCACAGGAGATATATATAAGGAGGCTTGAGTGACCTTATTAGCTACAGTGCTTTGATATGGAAACTTGAAGTATTTTCAGTATTATATAAGGTACAATATGAACACAAGCAGCTCCCTTTCAATCAGACAGGGGCTTTAGATACAATCTGGAGCTGCTTCTAAGCTTTTTCTATATCCTCTTTAACCATGTGATCAGATTAACTGATAAAGCACAAGACATTTTCTCAGTCCAGGCCTGCTTTCAAGAACTTGTGCGGCCTGCTATGGCCTCAGCTAAATAAGAAACACTCAGCCCCTGAGTCAGGCCCTATCCCTTGGCAAGCTCTCCCAAGGGCCAGCCTCTTCTATCCCCTGAACCCCAGTGAGTCTTTATTCCTTCCTAGCGGTGAACCTCCAACTTCTGATTCTGAGTTCTGTATGTGTCCAAGGCAAGGATACCTCTCAGGCAGTTTCCTCTTGTAAAAAGCTATCCCTTC